ATAACCTGGAAAAAAATATTAGGCACATATATTCTTTGAAAGTTACAGCGATTTACAAGTGATTTTAACTTACCTTCTAAAGATGCTGTTCTAGATAATATAGCTTCACTTGATGGTCTGGAGATAAAACCAGAATCTTTTGTACTTGATAATGTACTGTCTTTCTTATTGTCCTTGTATTTCTTTTTATATTGTGTACTATGTGTACTGGATGATGTACTATTTAAGGTATTCAGATATTTCTCAGCGTTATATTGGGGTTTATGAATTGAACTATTATTTCTTACACTACTCTGTCTCTTATTGTCTTTATTCTTGTTCAAGTCATTATTTTGTTTAGTTAACACTTGAGCTTTCCGACTGCCAGCAATGTCTTTTATCAAACTTAACCCTCCAGAAGGAATGGGATCCTTTTCCACATTTTCCTGATCACTGATATTAGGGTCAGTGCTTGTATCGTAATCTTGACTCATAGCTGTAGGTGGTGTCTGTTTCTTCACTCCAACAGCAGGTTCTGAGCCCGATTTCTGAGGTGGGGAAAAATCAAAGTTTTTACTTCCCTTGGTTAGGTTTTGATTTAAAGGTCTAATAGGACGTCGGTCATAAGCTTCATATCTTGATTCTGGTTTGTGTCTCGTCTGTCCAGTTTGTGGTCGTTCTTGAAGTGAAAATGCTGGAACATTTGAGTTTAAATTGGACTGATCTGAAGCTGGAGCAGTCATAGGACGTTTTGGTGTGATAGGAGTTCTAGCTCCATCAAATGTTAAATATACTGATTCAGAATCTAATAAACTTATATTACTCTTCACTTCACAATCTGAAAAATGACAAAATTCAATTATATTAGTCCATTTTATTCATGGACATCATGGACATCTATAACTTAAGAATAAACTAAGTGCAATGTGTATCAGATCTTCAAACAATATCAAAGCAAACATTTTCTCAAAACTTCAGACCTACCTTCCACTGATAAGTCATTTAAAACAATATTTTGTTGACGTTCAGATGACTTGGGTAATGGTACGTGAAATTTTTTGCCATTTTGACCTGGAAATAAAGATAGAAGTGATTTAGTTAAAGTCAGGGCCAGTGCCTTCAACATGTGTTCCAGTGGTGTAAATTATGTATATGGCATTATGTCTTTTGTTTGCTCGACAATCAGACTTCAGGTTCTAGCAGTGAAACAACAACATAAATATAATGTGTACGAAATATGAAAAATAAAAATACTTTCATGATAAAAAAAACATGTGATATAGATTACTTTAAATCTTACAAAGAGAATTATACTGATCTATATTAAGAAATAGCTTGAATATCCCTTTTTTCTTTGTGTTAAATGTACTTAAAGACACGTTAGGTAGTGATATATATAAGGTGAAAATAGAACAGGTAGTCATATATAACATCAGAATAGAACAACGCAGTATAAATCAGGGCAATAATCATTAAAACTAGGTTGGTATAATCATTGTACTAATCAATATAATAGACAGTGGTAGAGATCAATACAACTTGATTGATTAGTTATTGATTTCATTTTACAATCAGTTTTTTTAACTACAATTATATCTTTATTATATCTTTTATACTTCTACTAGAAACACATGAGGGCAATATAACCTTACTTATTTCTAGTTATATCTGATAACTAATGTTTCCATAATCAGAATTATACAATAAGTGCAGTTCATAAAATCAGCATTGTTCTTGGCATTTCCTTTATTTGCTCAGAGCTAGTGCATTTGAAATATAGAATATCTTATCTCTCTTTCAAGATATGACAGCAAAATAATAACAATTATTTGTAAAACAAGTTCCATAGCTTTGACCACATACTTTTAAATTGGATTATTACAATTTCTTTTAATGATCTCATCTACACTTAAGTAAGACATACAACACAAGGCAATATATAACACTTTTGCTTGTGTCTTATTAATGCCCAGTAAAGTTCATTTGTAAAATAAGGGTGTGATTGAACATATAGAAAACTTTGTATAAATCCATATAAACTGGCACCAATTATCAACAGATCATCATGTTTCAAATGCTAAAAGCATAAATTCTAAAGCAATCAATAGAATACATGATATCTACGCTTTAATCAAGGATATTCACTTTCCCTAAAGGCTTGTTAATCACTGTACATCCATGATAAAACATATAATCAACCCTCAAAAGTAACTAATGTGATATATGAAATTGATGCATCATGTACTTTACTTTCCCTAAAGACTTGTTAATTACTGCACATTCACCATAAAAAATTTCATAAAAACTCAAAAAGCAACTATAATGTGATATAATATGATATTGAAGCTATTAGATACCAACTGTTAATGGTTTTGAACAAAACAAATACTTTCCGAACAATCAAATGTTCTATATCAATAAAGTCAAAGTTATTAACAAAATATCATATCCATTAATATGTTTTTCCTATCATAGACATCAAAGAATCAGACACAAGATTAAATTACATATCATCTAGCTGGTAATAGGATTCAGACACAATTATCCAGACATAATAATGACAGTTAAAATATTATTGATTTATCAATCTTTTGTTGTGTAATATTCAAAACTGTATAGAAATTAGAGTTAACATCAGAAAAAGAATGTGTGTATCTGTGGATGTTTGCTTTTCTCATAAATTTGAATGTGAATCAATGCGAACATAGACGAACAATTCATGACAAATACAAACAAATCAATTTAAAGGGACAGTAAATAGTCTTCAGAAATACCAGAACTACCAAAAGCACAAAATTCCTACAAAAAAATATCTCGAACTAGGTATGTCTTTTATAATTGCGAAGGTGAATAATTTTGGACACACATTGGTTTGAAGACTCTAATTTCAATGGTGAGCTATGTACACTATTACTGATTGGCTTAGCTAAAAAATTATGCTTCTGCTGCTAAACTACAATTGGTACAAAAAATGGCCAACCTGTCCCTATATATAGAATACTTTTTTTTACTGAAATCGTAACTTCTGAAGAGATTTACAGGATAAACAAATAAAATTCCAATATATAATACTATTTAATGTAATTGCTTTAGGGAGTTGATTGAAGGGGATCTTGTACAGTTTTTGAAGTTTGAGAATTGATTTTATAGCTCTGTATAAAAGCGTTAGACTATGTAATTATAGAATGTGTTATAACAAGATGATACATGTATAACCTGTGAATCAGATTTTAACAATAGATGTGTTTGATATATGAACTAATGATTATCAATATCACTATATAATATATAATAATACTCATCATTATATACTAATTAAATAATACAATTAATATCATGCTGGCTTGGAAAAAGGCAGTTTCATTTCCAATATTAGACCTTGAGGTGTGTCAGCAAAGTAAGCAATCTAAATAAACAGGAGCCATATAGCTTCATATAACAGTTTTTAAGTTGCATCAACATGCACGGCAAATAATTAGACTGAGGCTCAAGATATCAGTTTTGATTAGTGTTATAGGAGATACTCCATAGAAGCACTGGCCTAGGTCACAAGAGACTATGGATGTCAGAATGAAAACAAAGTACATGGGATACATACTTGTCCAAGCAGCAATAGGAAATTGGTTTCTTTCTGGAGTTGATTGATGTTCATTGGAATGATTTAAGCTTTCACTTCCTGCAAATAGAATTTTCATTTTATTCTTTTATCTTTATATCCTTTGAGGAGAAGAAAAAACACGTAAGTTTAAAACATTACACATTTTCACTATCATTTGATTGATCATTGTCTTTGATGATGAAAATGCATTTTTCTCTGCAATAATTGACTAATTCAATCTTTATGTTGATGAAATGACATATTTCCTGACATCAGACCCTGGGGAGTTCCACTACTTTCCTTTTAACTGACTAGGAAAACTAGTAATGACTATCTTTAACAGTGAAACAGTAAATACTCTTTTAACTTAAAGTTAATTTTAAAGCAAAAAAAAAGCGTTTACTGTCAGTTTTCACTGCCTATGCAATATTTTGTTTCTAAGAATCTAAGAATCAGTCTAAATCATTAATCCATTGGAAAATTTGTGTCGTGTGTCAAAAGTTAGATATTAAGATTAGTAAGTTTTTATCAAAATAACTTAAGTTTATATCAAGATAATTTAGTTTATATCAAGATAATTTAGTTAATATCAAGATAATTTAGTTTATATCAAGATAATTTAGTTTATATCAAGACAATTTAGTTTATATCAAGACAATTTAGTTTATATCGAGACAATTTAGTTTATATCGAGATAATTTAGTTTATATCGAGATAATTTAGTTTATATCAAGATAATTTAGTTTATATATCAAGATAATTTAGTTTATATATAATTTAGTTTATATATCAAGACAATTTAGATTATATCAAGACAATTTAGATTATATCAAGATAATTTAGTTTATATCAAAACAATTTAGTTTATATCAAGATAATTTAGTTTATATCAAGACAATTTAGTTTATATCAAGATAATTTAGTTTATATCAAGATAATTTAGTTTATATCAAGATAATTTAGTTTATATCAAGATAATTTAGTTTATATCAAGACAATTTAGTTTATATCAAGATAATTTAGTTTATATCAAGATAATTTAGTTTATATCAAGATAATTTAGTTTATATCAAGATAATTTAGTTTATATCAAGATAATTTAGTTTATATCAAGATAATTTAGTTTATATCAAGATAATTTAGTTTATATCGAGATAATTTAGTTTATATCAAGACAATTTAGTTTATATCGAGATAATTTAGTTTATATCAAGACAATTTAGTTTATATCGAGATAATTTAGTTTATATCAAGATAATTTAGTTTATTTCAAGATAATTTAGTTTATATCGAGATAATTTAGTTTATATCAAGATAATTTAGTTTATATCAAGACAATTTAGTTTATATCAAGATAATTTAGTTTATATATCAAGATAATTTAGTTTATATCGAGATAATTTAGTTTATATATCAAGATAATTTAGTTACCTGTATGTGAGTGACTTCTGTTTAATATATGAGCTTTAATTGGTTCATTTTGTCGTAATAGCTGATCATGATGATATCTCTGTTTATTTAATATTCGACTTAACTTAGCATCTTCTTCTGTTCTTAACTATAATATAAATATTGAAATATAATAAATAACTAATAAGCTAAAATGGTAGATCTCTATTGCATGATTTCAAACCTAAAAGTGCTAAAATAAAAAGTAAAGAAGTGAAAATGATGTTTGAACATTACAGTAATCAAACTTTATATAGGCCTATTAATTATGTTGACATTATTATGTTCACAGTTTACAGACTCTACTTCAGGTTGTGTTTTTCTTAATACCATCCACATACAAAACAATCTTATGAAATAGTACAATTCTTATAACATGTAATCTATTGGAATAAAAATCAAACATTGTACTTCACAATTAGAACTTATTTGACCAAAACAAATAAACATTCAATTAAAATTCCACTACTCAGCATACTTTAGAATTTTCCTCCAAGATAGTGCTTAATGTTGGTACTTTCATTGTTAAACTACTAGTAAACTGGTTAGTGCAAGAGATGGTCCTAGTCCCATAATCTTTATCTTATATGAATACAAAGGTGATCTACTTAAACTTAAGTCACTAATTGAGAAGAAACCCTGCTCTGTCTAATGGACCAATGAACTAAATAAACATAAGTTATGAAAAACAATATCTTGATAATAGATAAAAATAACATAATAACAATAGGATTACTAGGCCAAGATCCAGAAACAACACTATGACCCCAGATCAAATTAGCTTTAACATATTGTTTAATGATTACCCTTTATGTGTTTATCATTTAAAAACATCTTAGGTTTCTACTCCATCTTCTTAAACCTGACACATTTTTATCTATCTATTTACTTTATGTTATATGGCAATATTTACTGTCTATATCATTTATAATATCACAGTTATTTTAAGTATTTTATGCATACCAATTCTAAAGTTAAATTAAACTGTTATCTCATATTTTGTGTTGCCAACTGATGGAGATTAGTTATAACTTCGTAGGTAGCATTTAATGAGATAAATTGGAAATTAACTGAATGTCTGAAATGGAACATGACTGAATCTCTCTATTTCTTCAAAAAATTACACAATGCAAAACTGTTACGTTGACTTTTATCTTGCTCAAATACAACTGAATATCCCAACATCTTCCAAGTGAAACAATAACAGTCCATTGTCAATAGTCCAGAACAAAATGTCAACTTACAATAATAATAATACATACATATGTACATCACACATCTTATCATAATACAATCATCACACTATATTACATCATTGGAAATAAAAATCTATAATTTCCATATGATATACAAGCTTAATGACACATTTCTAAGAACATAGCATGAAAACAGAACATGGCAATCAATATCCTGTTAGTCACTCTTATAATCAATATAATAAAATTATGATTCCTGCTTATAATCCATGCCATGATCACTAGGAGAAAACTGACATCCCTTCAAACCAGAAATCCAGCTTAGAAGATTTTTGATAAATAAACCAAATAATAAAAGACCCTAATTCCAGAATAACATAATGGAAAACATTGGTAGCAGATAATGAACTTTCTTCACATCTTTCATAATGAAAGGTGGTATCAGGTGTCTTGGCACCACACCCACCATTCAATACAGATAGAATGAACAACTTTACTTTCACTCTTTTTATTTCAAAATCCCTAATCAAAGCGTTTATTTACCTATGCTACCCAGCACTGGGTAGATAATGATACCTTATTTGTACTATTTCTTATAACCTTAGGTTGACACACAGATTCACATCTATCGAACTTTCATTAATCATACTAAAAGCATTCAAATATCTGTATGCAGTTTAATGGAACAATCTGATAAAATGCAGTCTAAAGCCCCGTTAACATTAGAACGCTACAAAGTGTTTCATTCTCGGTCTAGACCGGGATGCGATAAAAATACCAAATTGCGTTTCGAGAACAGTTCTATAACAATAGTGTAAATGTTTTATGTGAACTCTTCACGAAAGAGTTAATTTTAGACTTCTAATAACACTGATGAAGGCAAATTCGTCTGCTCACAGAAACTGTAGAAAGTTTTATGAGTAAGAACTGTTCTCGGAAAGCTCAACCTTTTACACTACCAAAATTTACCTGTTCCGTTCTGGGAACTGTTTCCAGACCACCCGCCTCAGTAGTCTCGAATTGGAACTGTTCTCAGAACGCTCGACCATTTACACTAGTAATTTTTCACCCGTTCCGTTCTTAGGACGGATCATTTTTATAATGTAAATGGTGTTTAAGTGAAGCGAGTCAAATAAAACACATAATGGACCTAAACAATTAATCTGCAATATAATCAGATTGTTTTATGGAATCATGAACATGCCTACTTGGATTGCCCAGGAACCTTACATCTGACTTGTCAATCGTAACAAGTTTGAATGATTCTCCATGCTTTGATGTTTCTTCACAATGTCAAGCTTCATCTTATAACTTGACTGCAAAAGTCACCTTTTTTGTATCGCAGAATGAATAGATTTAATTGGATTATAAGCCAGCGAATACTGCCAAAAAGAGCCTGAGACAGAAAGACTGTCTTAGCATTGCGTAATAGCTTGACATTGAGAAGATGATTTTCATGAAGCAGACGGATCCAGTCATATCTATAAATACTAAATATAATAAGTTATTTATTGCTGTTATTGTGCAGAAATGACCAGTAAGGAATAGACAAAAATCATTCTTCCGATTAATTGATTAAAGCAATGTTTCTACATAGTTCCTAAGAGACTGAAAGAATTGAGACAACTTCCCTGGGATTGTTTTTATACATAGCAAACAAAAAGGTAGAATAGTGAATAATGATGAAGTTATTATCATTAAGAATAAAGATATTAGAGTACACTTTACTGACCTTGAATAAAGGAGAGCTGGGAAGAACTAAAGTCATATCTATAGAATGATTGTATTGAACCTATCACTGATTTTACACAATAAGTACCGTTAATAGTCTATCAAACAACAATCAAATACTATCAAGTATCCACTGGTCAGTTATTGACCACTATTAGTAACAAACTGGACTGTAACACATCTAGTACACTTCTCCAATACTTCTTGATATAAATCTTTATCATAAAATAATATTCTTTCAGCAGGTCTCTGTTTTAATATAAACCTTAAAGCTCTCAATCCATCATTAGGTACCTCAAGTCAGTCAGTGGTGTTGATTTTAAACTGTTCCTTAAAACATATTCAGCTGGGGCTCTCCACCTAATTAATGTACCCATGCCTTAGATTTAAGGATTAATTTTGTGTATATTAGCTACAATTACAACTCCATTGTTATCTACTTATACTTTATTTAATACAAGTGTGAAAACTTATCCTTAAACAGACCGGCAAACAAAGAATAGCACACCTCCTAAATCACCTGAAATTAGTAAGACTGGTAATTGTTAGAAAGTACTAGGCATGTATTTACTATTAGCCTCACTGTAAGCAGATTAAAATACTAGATAAATAAAGTATATTACTACGATTGACAATTGCCAGTTTAATTCTCAGCAGGGGATATCTCATGGGGTCAAAAATTGACCCTAGATTCATTTGAGATAGGTTCAAATTGTAATGCTCTTAAAAAACATATTATATACCTACTTAAAACTGTACAGAGAGAGTTATTGTATGTCTGACATGTGAATATGAATGGTAATAAACCTGTTATGTAATGTAATATTACAATACTGGTGTGTTTTTTCACAAAAAGCAGGTACAGACATATATAAAATTCATGATATTTCAAGTGATATACAAACAAACTTTTATACACTTCAATGACACAGATGTTGAATCACAGGTAATGCAGTGGGAGAAACATTGGCTAGGATATTGCTCGCCATCAAATGGTTTATTTGTTCTTCACTTCCATTGAATTCTTTTCACAGAAAAAAAGGAACAAAGGAAGTCATAACATCATCTGCTAAGTCTCTTGTTCCCAAACTAATGACTTATTCCTAGGTTTGAATTTAGGTCTTCATTTTGCTGAAGGTATGCAAGAAGGTAAACAGCAAATATCATAAAGAACTACATAAAAAGTCCAGATGGTTGGGAACCAATGTGCTGAGTTATAAGTGATGCAACTTTCCATCTCTTTTATGCCATTTTGATTGCTCTGAAGGTGATCTTAGTTAGCTATCATCTCCTAGCCTTTACTTCAATGCAGACTATAAAGTTTGTTCAAATAAAAAAGTGTCAGATTACGATAGTGAATGTGACAAGTTTATCCTAGAGATTAGAAGAGGATTAGGAAAGTTGAAGTCTTGATTGAAAAAAATTCTTTGGTTGCAAGTATAAAAATTTCATCAATATTTACTTCAATGCACTCCATGGAAACTTTAAAAAGTTTGACTTTATAAAGGTGTCAGTAGTCATTGACTTATATATATGGCACACTGTCGAGTCACATAACAATAAGTTTAGGTTGTTTACCTTTCTGCAATCAACACATACTATGCCATGTAGTGTTCAATATAAGAAATTTAGCCTGTTTTTTTCCAACTTTCATTGGATCTGGATCCCAGTCACCTTGGCTCTTGCTGGGATTGCACTCTAAACCAAAGAAAAATCATCTTAATAACTGAATCACAAAGAGGAAAAAAGTGACAAATAGAGACAGTTTGCAATATACATGTCAGAACAATTCACTTGAAGACCTGGTAAATTTCAATACATATTTTGCTCTATTTCTAATGTTTTTCAAAATCAATCCAATTTAACAGACGACAAAACATCAGATTAATGGTATTTAATAGAAAATTAGAGCATACATAACATCTATATTGTTTGTTTCCTGGGCTATATTGTATCAACTGAATTGGAAAATTGATACCATCTGATCTTGTACAACATTGTAAACAACAAAAGCTTTCTAGTTTTTTCAATCTATTTAATGGGATATTACAGTACAGTGGACCTTAGTCACAAACCATTAAAGTTAGAACATGTTTCAACAAGATGCTTATTCTATTCATGCTTTTGTATTTTATCATATTCATGAACAAAAGGTATATAATACTATACCTTCCTGGTGATC